AAATGTATCTTATGGGCAACACTGCCCACCATCTGAGACAGTTGAGAATGTTTATGTCCTGAATTATCGTAAATTTGATTGTAATTTTAAGTTTTCCTACCATGGACATTTTTTAAGTGGGGAAAAAAAAGATTTAATCTGTTTTTATTGAAAATGATTTAGGGTTCTACTCAAAATTACAAAGGAAGTGAACTTTATCCTCATCTCTTGGCCCACTTTTTCTTTAAAAAAAAATTTTTTTTTTAACGTTTATTTATTTTTGAAACAGAGAGAGACAGAGCATGAACGGGGGAGGGGCAGAGAGAGAGGGAGACACAGAACCGGAAGCAGGCTCCAGGCTCCGAGCCATCAGCCCAGAGCCGGATGTGGGGCTCGAACTCACGGACCGTGAGATCGTGACCTGAGCTGAAGTCGGACGCTTAACCGACTGAGCCACCCAGGCGCCCCATTGGCCCACTTTTTCTTAAACGTTAACTCTGCTTCCTGGCCACACTCAAACCACATTCCCATGCCCTCGTGACCTAGTATGCACTTGATCTCTTACTTCCTGTTAGTATACCTGTGTCCTCGAGCGCGCGGAGCTGGTCAAACATAGTCACCCTGATACGCAAATTTCTTTTAAAATGTTTTTTTAATGTTTATTTATTGAGAGAGAGAGACAGGACAGAGAGCGTGAGCAGGGGAGGGGCAGAGAGAGAGGGAGACACAGAATCCAAAGCAGGCTCCAGGTTCTGAGCTATTAGCAAAGAGCCTTGCCTTGGGGGTCGAACCCACAATCCAGGAGATCATGACTTGAACCGAAGTCAGATGGTTGCTTAACCAATGAGCCACCCAGCCGCCCCTGATATGTGAATTTCTAATACCGCCTAACTATTCTCCTAAGGTTTCCCTCGTGTTTTTTTCTTTACATTTTAAAGGGAAGAAAACTTTCGAGCCAGAAGGAAGGGCCTCAGTCATGGAATTTCAGGAGTCAGCTACTGGGGAAGATAGATTTGCACTCCTTGTCTTCCTGAACACAGTTCTGTTAATTCTGATGCTGATGTCGTGTGGACCTTGTTCTGGAAAATGGCAGCTTGGACCCGTAAACACTTGCTTCCGCTCCCAATTCATTGTGTCTGTGCCCTGAACAGAGGGACTGGAGGGCCAGCCCCGTTGCCAGCAGGGGCGGGAAGGTGTGCATGAGGGACCTGCGGTGGGGATTTGCCCCGTGGGCTGGAACAGAGCAGAGTCTCAGGGAGGGAGTGCGAAGCCTGCAGATCCTGGGCAGAGCTTGGCTTGGAGAGAACTCCGGACCTCCGAAGGGAAGGAAGCTCAACACTGCTCAGCATGGTTGTGCTCATGCTCAGTGTCCCTCCCTGAGCGGAGGACGGGCTGGCTGGGCCACATTCCTTCTGTCATGGTGAGGGTGAGGGAGAGAGACATCTTCCTACAACGTGGGCTCCCTGTCAGAACAGGTGCACTCTCCACATTGCCAGGACCCCCATATCATCATGTAAGGTCCCCAACCATGGAGTTCTGAAACTAGCAGACCAAGAAATAAATAAGTAAAAAAAAAAAAATAATAATAATAATAATAATAACGTCACCCCTTAGGGAGATGAGGAGGAGGATTAAAAACAACAAATAGAATTCCCACATCAAAACAGCTGCTAAAGAAGCCAGAAAATAACAAGGATGAAACTTGGGGCTCAAGGAAATTTGAGAAAAGTCACACCTGCAGACACAGACGCTGGGGGTTAAAGTAAATATAACTTCGAGATTTCACTGGGTCATCTGAAGGAGAGGATCATCACTGATTATGCATAAACAGTGACCTGGAATATATTGTAGGTGGAGTATCTCAAACCACAGAGCAAAAAAGCTTAAGAGAGAGAAATTAGAAGGGAAAATAAGAGGAAATGTAACACGACAAACTAGAGATCCAGAAACAGAATTAGAAGCAAAGACAATAATTGTGCGTTTAAAACAATTCTCTGAGTTGAAGGAAAACCTGAGTTGCAAATTGAAAGGACTCCTCAATTCTGATGAGAAAAGACATACGTCTGGGAAAATTTCTGAATTGCAAAACCACAGAGAAGAAAGCTTCCAAACTTTCTAGACAGAAGTTACTACAATGAAAAAATAATGATCATGGCATCAGCACCCAACTTCTCATTTGTAACAGTGGGATAAAAAAAAAAAAAAAACACAAAACTCGACAGAATATCATTACACTGCTGAGGCATGAGCTGCAGCTTAAGCATCTGATATATAATGTATTTGACAAGGTTAAAAAAAGATATTTTGGATAACAAGGAAGGATTGAGATTAAATATTGACCATGCATCCCATCCGAGGAAAATACTAGAGAATTATTCCAGTCAAAAAGTGAATCACAACCATGGCCTCAGGATGGAAGCTATGAAGGCAATAGGGAACGGTGAGCAGTAAACCTTTTGACGTATATTGACATTGAACATGCATACGTAGTATGTGGGCACATGAATCCACCCACACGTGTCCATACCCACAACGCACATACATGGAGAAACGTCAAGTACACAGTCTTGAAGAACGTGCAAATAGAGTGCACTGTAATGTTCTGCTGATGTTTCTTTCCTGGGTAGTAGGACTGCCTGCAGAAACGAAGGTCAGTTACCTTTGAAAACCTACATGTCACAGGATTAGTCTAAAGAATTAAGGTCAATGTCTGCCCCTGATTTGTTCTCCTACCCTAGCCCGGTAGTGCCCATGTCAGACTTTGACCAGTCTCTCTTTTTGCTCAACAGCCGAGACCTTTTTTTGGTCCGTATTTTTGTTTGTTCGTTTGGGGTTTTGGGGGGTTTTTTTGTTTCTTTGTTTGCAGAAGAAGTCCTATGTTACTATTATGGTGTTTTCCCATTTTTTTTCTTCTTGACATTCTCTCAAGTATATTCAAGTGAAGATGCCTTTCTTCAAGGAATATATATTGCCTGAATGCAAAAAAAAAAAAAAAAAGTTATCGCATCTTTAAAGAACTCTTTTAGTATAAAATAATCATTTAATTGAGTTGTCCCCAGCTCATTTTACTTCACTGTAAGAATCTACCTGAAATTCAGCATATGTAACGCTCCTTGATGCTTCTTCATATAATCAGCCTGGCCAAGATAGCAATATGTTTCAGAAAATTCTTTTTTTTTTTTTTTTTTTGGTGATTGTAACAATGTAAACCTGTCCGATTTTAGTTGCTTGTAGAGGCCTTTTACACAGCACTTACTTGTGCAACTTTAAAATTACTGAACAGAATTTTATAAGTCCAAGTAGCTCCCAATGAATTTATTCAAAGTTTCCCAAACTTAGATCATTTTTCTTAAAGATATGACTCTTTTCCAAAGTTGAAGGAGCAAGGATACAAAAGATTGGACTTTCAGGAAGGACAGACTGAAAATAGTGAGATGAAGTTTAATAGGAAAAAAGGCGAGACGTGTAACGAGATTGAAGAAATCCACCCCCTGAGTTTGTAGGGGAGGCAAAACTTTACATCTCCCCTCTTAAGGTTTCTAGCTAAACCTGAGCATTAAATTGACCCGAGGCAGATTAACAAGAGGAAAGCGTGTAGATTTTTAAATGTATATGGCGCCTGCGTAGGAAAATGAAGACCCAAAAAGCAGATAGTGTTTATATGTTAGATTGAACACAGGGTATAGTAATTGTGCATGAGTAATTAAATGTACGGGGGGGGGGGGACAAATGGGGGTAGGAGTTACTTTAACAAGGTTTGTGTGTACAGATTTCTCCAGCCTGACCCCCTTCTCACAGGGGACCCTCTTCCCCCTAAGAAAATAATAGTTCTTTATTTTTCACAGCACCCAGCATGTATTAGATTATCCATATCCAATCAAAACTATTTATAGTTACTTATAGTATCAGGAAATGGAGACAAAAGGGCAGTACCCCCTCAAAAACTCAAACTCCATGGCAATAAAGATTGTCCTGTAAGGGTTTGCAACACCGAGATAGACTGGATCAGAGCTGAGATTCTCAGGGTGAAGTTAAAGACGGACTATTATGCCAATCCAAAAAACACTTCTAGAATGTATACGTATATTTTATGGAAGGTATATGCATCGCATGGGATATGCGTAGCGCATATACTACGCATGGTAACCTCTGCAGATCCCTTGACGCAATGCCCAGCCTGCGGAAGCCAGCGCATAAATTCTTGGTAGTTGTTCATGGTTGTTAGGAAGTCAGCCAGCTCATTGAAGCAGGGAGGCAGTGTGACAGCAGAGGCCACACGTCCTTACTGAGTTGAGGTGGCTTCCCCTGTGGGGTAAACGGATGCCTCCCCTGACTCACTGCATTGAAACATTTGGAGTCTACACTTCATTGCCGCTGGTCAGGTTTGGTGGCCATTGAGCGAGAGCACTGAGGGCCTGACCATCATCGAAGCGAAGGAATTGATGAGGTCTCCTGAGTCAATCCCCCGCCAACCAACCTCCGTCAGAGTGGGGTGAGGGCCGGGAGAGGCAAGCCTCAACTTATGGAAAGGGGGCAGAGACCATCACTGGAAAGGGGGGAGCGGCAGTGGGGTGTGGGGTCCCCCCCCCCGTGGCGCCTGCGGTTAGCGGGGGACCTCTGTCAACAGTGAGCCAGACCTAAGTGCGCGTGGGGAGATCAGAGCTGCGGTAAGGACTCCCCCAGAGCACCGCCGTCCCCAAGCTCCGGAGACCTTTCACTGGGACCGCCTCGATTCTGGGCCACAAATCCTGTTTCAAAGTACTGTGCTGATCATTTGGAAAATGCCGCCGCAGAGGATTTTTAATTCGTTTGGAACGCGTGGCTGCATCCGGGGGGAGGGGGGAGGGGCTCGGCGTGCCCACACGCAGAGTTGCACCTGGGCGTCGTTCACCAAGGCCACGGGTGCCAGGGCCGCGGGCACTGGCCCTGGCTGCCTCTTCCTAAGCAGGGAAGGACAGGGGATCCGGGGGGGAGGGGGCTGCGGCCGCGCCCTAACGCGTGCCCCGCTTCTTTGCCCGCAGAGCCCCCCGGCGCGGACCCGGACACGCTGCGGGCCGGCGCGCGCGGCTTCACCGGCTGCCTCTCGGCGGTGCGCTTCGGTCCCGCCGCGCCGCTCAAGGCCGCGCTGCGCCC